CCTTATTTACGACCGTGGTGAAATGCGCCCTAAAACAAAAGAATCTGCTTCTTTGTATGAGATCTTTGGATCTGTGATTTGACGGCGACTCAGAGTCCAGACTGAGAGGTGAGAACAACTAACTAACGGCCGCTAGGACGAGACGACTGATATGCAGCAGGACAGAAGAGAGAGACACGACCGAGAGAAGAGCGTCGGAGCGCTCGTACAGATGAAAGAAGTGACACTTCCGTTACCAGTCTTCATCCTTTCATGCTTGCTCTCTAAACAAGTCAAACAACACTAATCAAAGTGAAAAGACAACAGGATGAATTGAAGTACCGAGATAATAAACCGTACATTGATCCGATTAATCCCAAATTTTCCCAGACATGAAAATATCCAAATGGTGTCATTAGTAACCCTTTGCAATAATTAATAATTACTTTTTTTTTTTGTGGAAAAGTGTGTGAAAATGTGTGTTTTATGGTCAGTCACAATTGTGACCGGTGGGATCATGTGTGCACTGAATTCACATATTTCTGCAGTCAAAATTGTTATATATCTCAGCCCAGCTGTTTGAAACTTTACGTCACATTCAGACGTTTCATCACATTCTAGCGTTACTATTATGCATAAAAGCCCTTATACAGCACTGATAGGAATACTGAGATAAAATACAACCATCAACACATTTCAAAATTGTTACTTTATTGTAACATATATCATGAAATTGTTATATTAGTGCTACCAGTATTACAACATTTGAACTTTGAATTTAGTGCAATATTGGTGCACATCTGGTGCACATTAGCTGCATACAGGAAGTAAACTGCTCTGGTCATGTGACAATTTGCACTAACCAAGTGAAACTTAAACATATTTAATAGAGACCCTTTAATTTAAAACAAAGGAAATGGTGTCTGATTTCCAACGGAGGACCACTGCTGTTTTACCATCGACCATTAATGCTCAGGACATTGAAAATTATCAAAGTTTTACGTTTTAAGTTTACATTTTTTTAAAGTTTCTTTAAGTTTGAAGTTCAGGACTACCATCTCTGCAACGTTACATTTACATTTACATTTACATTTAGTCATTTAGCAGATTAATGGTCAGGACATTGAAAATGTTTTAAGTTTCTCGGGACTGCTATCTCTGCAACGTTAAAGTGGGACGACAACCTAAGAGGCATTATTTAAAAATCCCATCAAAGGCTTTTTTCTTAAAACAGCTTAAAAAGTTTGGCATGTTGAGTTTTTATGGATCTGTCATTGAAAGCGTGCTGATGTGGTTTGGTAGCTCCACAGCTCAGCAGAGTCAGATTAGTAACATAACTCGGGCTGCTTCGAAAATTATTGGTTGTGATCTTCCCACTATTGATGAGATCTATGTCTCACGTTTGCAGAAAATAGGTCTAACAATCCTGAAAGACCCCTTACATCCAGCCAGACACCTCTTTACGCCTCTTCCTTCAGGCAGAGCAATTAAAACCAAGTCTACACGTTATCTGAACAGCACTTATTGTAGGATTGTGCATGCTCTTAATTCCTCTGGTATCTATGCATCTGCATTTCACTCCTTATGATTGATATGACATATATGTATAGTTGTATTTATGTATGTATTTTAATGTATGTTATTATTGTTGATGAGCCCACCAAGCAAATTCCAAACAACTAGGGTGTTTGGCAATAAATAAATACATAAATACATGTTTCCATATTTCCAGGAAATGCAGTAAAACGCCAGTCAGTAACATTTTTAGAACTGTATAAATGTAAACCTTCTTTATTGTCACTATTGTGACTGGTGGGATTAAATGGGTCAAGTAATTAAATATTTTGTTTCTAGAGTTATGAAGGCAAATATAACCATTTAAAACATTTGATTGTTTGTGAATTTTTCAAAGCATCTGGAGACTCCTAGAGATACTCCAATGATAATAATGACAGTAAACACATTTTAACTAACAAACCTGGCTGTAAATACAATGTTGACCGTATGTTTAACTGTTTAACTGTCCTCCGAGTAACTCTGTATTTTTTTCTTTATGTTGATAATCTACAGAAACAGATGAAGAAGAAAAACGTGAATGCTTCAAACTGTGGATTTTAGCACTACTGGGGCTGTTTTTTTTCACTGAATTAATTACACATAATTTTTTGTCCCTTTGGATAAAAGCTTTTGCTGAATGAATACATGAATGTCTGTTGGCCGTTTTACAGCCATTATTTTGATGCAGTTGAATTTGAAACAGAATGCTTCTGAATGACTTGGTTTTCCAGAGAGCCCGTTTCTGCTTGAACAGTGAGTGTTTTGTGCTGACTCTTGACCCGTGGAGCGCTGGCAGGCTCCTGCGGTGCTCATACAGACAGTGTGTGCTAGGAGCGATTACGACACTCTCCTCGCAGACCCGATGCCCCGGCGGCTCTTATCAGAGAGGACGTTCAGATAAGTCCTGGCCCTTACAAGGAAAAGAATGAAATGCTACTCAAATCGATTTTTTCCTGAACAAATTACACTCTGTGTTTGCTTAATTCGTTTACTTAAACTCCTACTCAGATGAGCTGATATGCATCATGAACCCGTTTGGAATTTTTTCCCCCTGATTTTACATTGTATCTCTAAAAAACAAGACAAAGGCAAACAGATGGCATGTGACTGATGAATCTTTTGAAGCCCGTTTTAATGATCTGACTCTCTCCCCCGTCTGAGCGAGTCGCCCTTTGGCTCCGGCCGGGATTGGCCTCCAGCGAATCTCCACATGAGGTGAGATTTCTCACGGACGCAAACACCGCTCTGTGTGTGTGTGAGTCTGTGTGTGTGTGTGTGTGTGTGTGTGTGTGTGTGCGTGTGTGTGTGTGTGTGTGTGTGTGTGTGTGTGCGTGTGTGTGTGTGTGTGTGTGTGTGTGTGTGTGCGTGTGTGTGTGTGTGTGTGTGTGTGTGTGTGTGCGTGTGTGTGTGTGTGTGTGTGTGTGTGTGTGTGCGTGTGTGTGTGTGTGTGTGTGTGTGTGTGTGTGCGTGTGTGTGTGTGTGTGTGTGTGTGTGTGTGTGCGTGTGTGTGTGTGTGTGTGTGTGTGTGTGTGTGCGTGTGTGTGTGTGTGTGTGTGTGTGTGTGTGTGCGTGTGTGTGTGTGTGTGTGTGTGTGTGTGTGTGCGTGTGTGTGTGTGTGTGTGTGTGTGTGTGTGTGCGTGTGTGTGTGTGTGTGTGTGTGTGTGTGTGTGCGTGTGTGTGTGTGTGTGTGTGTGTGTGTGTGTGCGTGTGTGTGTGTGTGTGTGTGTGTGTGTGTGTGCGTGTGTGTGTGTGTGTGTGTGTGTGTGTGTGTGCGTGTGTGTGTGTGTGTGTGTGTGTGTGTGTGTGCGTGTGTGTGTGTGTGTGTGTGTGTGTGTGTGTGCGTGTGTGTGTGTGTGTGTGTGTGTGTGTGTGTGCGTGTGTGTGTGTGTGTGTGTGTGTGTGTGTGTGCGTGTGTGTGTGTGTGTGTGTGTGTGTGTGTGTGCGTGTGTGTGTGTGTGTGTGTGTGTGTGTGTGTGCGTGTGTGTGTGTGTGTGTGTGTGTGTGTGTGTGCGTGTGTGTGTGTGTGTGTGTGTGTGTGTGTGTGCGTGTGTGTGTGTGTGTGTGTGTGTGTGTGTGTGCGTGTGTGTGTGTGTGTGTGTGTGTGTGTGTGTGCGTGTGTGTGTGTGTGTGTGTGTGTGTGTGTGTGCGTGTGTGTGTGTGTGTGTGTGTGTGTGTGTGTGCGTGTGTGTGTGTGTGTGTGTGTGTGTGTGTGTGCGTGTGTGTGTGTGTGTGTGTGTGTGTGTGTGTGCGTGTGTGTGTGTGTGTGTGTGTGTGTGTGTGTGCGTGTGTGTGTGTGTGTGTGTGTGTGTGTGTGTGAGTGTGTGTGTGTGTGTGTGTGTGTGTGAGTGTGTGTGTGTCTTCCACACTGGAGCTCTGACGATGCATTGCTTTATACTAGTAAAAACCTATGAAACCAAAATGCACCCTAAATCTAAGATGCAACATTTTAAGATAAGTCATTTAGTAATTTATTTTTAAACGAATTGTGATTCTCTGGAAACCTCAGACTAAACGTACCGAAGCTGTAACTACATGTGCTCCTAACATTTAGATTATTAGTAAAAAAGGAAAGTTTGTTTTCCAAACATATTTGTGCCAATCCTGTTGCATTCAGCATGTTCTGTGGTTGAATGTTATGGGGTCAAAGGTCAGGGCAAAAACAGATCATTAGGCTACGCTAAATGTCATTATTTACATTCTTGTATGCTGTTCCAAGAACAATACGATTAAATCGTGTAACAAAGTTCAGTATCCTGTTAATCCCATCAGCACTTCATGAGTAGCACACAGATGCTGCTGCTGCCACAGAAAGTCCAGGTTACATGTTGAGAAAGTGTAACTTGAGAAATGAAAATTATTGAATTAAAAAAATTAATTGAAAATAATTTTGCAAAAGAACTTCTGTGTTCAGAATGATCAAAGTCTCAATGTTTTAGCTGTTAAATGTGCTATAACAGCACAAGCTCACTATATATATATATACATATAATAAGTAGAAATATATGTAAAAGTACTAATGGTAAGAGTACACTGTAAAATGTTTTGTCAGGTCACCTAAAAATTTGCCTCAAATGACAAAATCTAATTGAAATGGATGCATCCAAGTCAAAACGAATTATTTAATATGACTGAATTAATCAGTGTATGTAATGTCAACAAAAGTCAATATTTAAGGGTGAGATTTGATAGAAATAACTCCTTAAGCTGTTAACTCTACATAGTTCACTTGTGAATCAAAACTGCTTCAGAAGTAACTGATATAAAGATGCAGCACGTTAAATGAGGATGTGAATGATGTTTTTCCTGAACCTGTATATCTGTGAGGGTTACTTATAGATGTGGACTAGCATGAGTGCATGTGCTGACCTCCCCCGTCCCCTCGATAGGGAACCTTTGAACCCTGCGGTGAGGGGGTGAGGGGTTGAGGTTTGGGCCCCCTCCCTCCCTCCGGCTCGGCCCTATAAAAGAGCCGTCTCTGGCCCTGCTCTTCAGTCTCTTCCCAGACCAGCTGCATCAACAGGTAAGCAGCCCAGCCGCAGACCTTACAGCAGAGTTTCAGCTGGAAACACCTGCGGCGTTTTGGAGAGTTGTGGAGCGCTAGCAGAAAATGAGTTTGTATTGAATTAAACATGTAAACTGCAATCTGTTTTCAGGGTTTTGGAAGTTCACATTTATTGTTAAAAGTACCAGAAGTAATAATTTTGTTTTGGAGATTAATAATGAGACCTCATTGATGAAATATGATCAGTTATTGCAGACGTGTCTGGACATCTGGCCACCTTTCTGCTCCTCAGATGCCTGAAAGGAGCAGCAGGTTAGACTGAAGTTCTCCAGGTCCACAACAGTGTGACCATGTTAATCCAGGGATTTCAGATCAGAGCTAATCTGCTTGTGAAGCCTTTGTAACTCTGTCTAATCTGGGATAAATGAGAGTCTAGTCTGACAGGCTGACATACGCTGTAGAGTAAATCTCGAGGAATCGTGCTGCAGCCCCAGTGTCAGCTTTCCCTTTGGTTAGAAATCTAAAACCTGTGTATTCATTGTGATTAACAACATCTGATGTGTTTGTTTGATCTTTTTGGCCCAGATCCATGATGAGGTCCGTAGTCCTCGCCCTCGCTGTTTTGCTGGCAGGTATATAAACCCGCTACTGCTCTCAACAGCATTGTTGTCTTGTTTTCCAGTTTAAAATGTATACCAAGATAAATCTAGTTAAACTTTTCATGAGATATCAAGACTTTTCAAAGAATACATGTATATATCTTGTTTCTAAAACTTTTAGCTTTATTCTGGTTGTAAGAGGTTCTGGCTAGTTTATGTAAGAAATAAACTCCATTAAAGAAATATTTTCAGTAAAAAGTCTTTAATATCTCACACAATTTAGCATTTCATTTAAAATATTCAGAAGAATGTCTAGAAATTTTGACTGAAAAACTGTAAAGATGCAGTAAATATATTTCAGAAACGTTATTGTATTGAGTTAACTGTATTCAGATGAAACTGTAGTTCAAATCTAGCCAGACTGAATGCATCAAGCTTGGCCCTTGTTCCAGCGTCTGAATCTGCGTGTGCTTTGCTCAGGCTGCCAGGCCCGATTCCTGCGGGACGAACCGCCGTCGCAGATGGAGCACGTGAAGTCTGCGCTCCAGGTTTACGCTGATCAGCTGAAGCAGGCGGCGCACAAAGCCCTCACTCACCTCGATGACACCGAGTTCAAAGACTACAAGTAAGAACGCACATATAGGTCCGGATGTAGGGGCTCCTCAAAAGCCGAATGGCTTCACTATGAAGGGTCGATATTGATGCTTTGAGTTTAAAGGGTTAGTTCACCCAAAAATGAAAATTCTGTCATTATTTACTCACCCTCATGTTGTTCCAAACCCGTAAGACCTTCGTTCATCTTCGGAACACAAGTTAAGATATTTTTGATGGAATCCGAGAGCTCTCTGACCCTCTATAGACAGCAACACAACTGCAATGTTCCCAAGTCCAGAAACGTAGCAAGGACATCAATAAAACTGTCCATGTGACATCAGTGGCTCAACTTCAATTTTGCAAAGCTACGAGAATACTTTTTGTGCGCAAATTAAACAAAAATAACAACTTTATTCAACAATTCTTCTCCCCGAGTTACTGACGCATACGCACACTTTCCCACTGTTGAGCCACTGATGTCACATGGACAGTTTTATTGATGTCCTTGCTACGTTTCTGGACTTGGGAACATTGCAGTTGTGTTGCTGTCTATAGAGGGTCAGAGAGCTCTCGGATTCCATCAAAAATATCTTAATTTGTGTTCTGAAGATGAACGAAGGACATGAGGGTGAGTAACTAATGACAGAATTTTCATTTTGGGGTGAACTAACCCTTTAAGTAATTCTCATCTTACATTTCACATCAACTATTCCAGCGACAGCTAACCTAAATCCTCGTCCTGTTTAGGGAATTCCTGGGCCAGTCTGTGGACAACCTCCACGGCTACTTTCAGGACGGCTTCCAAACCATCAGCCCATTCAGCACCCAGATGCTGGACGCCACTAAAGACACGCGCGAGAAGCTGATCAAAGATGCGGAGGAGCTCGGCAAGAAGATCGAGCCCATGCGCAAGGAGCTGAGGCAGGTGCTGGAGAAGCACTTCCAGGAGTACAGTGACGAGCTGAAGCCTTTCTTCGAGGAGTACTCGGCCAAGCAGCGCCAGCACATGGAGGAGATGAAGACCAAGCTGGAGCCTGTGGTCAAGAGCTTAAAGGAGAAGATTGGAACCAACTGGGAGGAGACCAAATCCAAGCTGGTGCCCATCGTGGAGGCTGTGCGCGAGAAGGTGGCGGAGCATCTGCAGGACCTGAAGAACCTGCTGGAGCCCTACATGCAGGATTACAGGGAGCAGATGGAGAAGAGAGCGCTGGACTTCCGCCAGAGCGTGAGTTCTGGAGAACTGAGGAAAAAGATGGACGAGTTGGGCGCGCAGGTGAAGCCTCACTTCGATGCTATTATTGCAGCCGTCCAAAAGGCTGTGAACAAGGAGTAAACCAACCCTTTTTTGCACCTTCCCTTCACCTCGCCACCAGCGCCGAGTACCAACACCTCGATCCGTCGTCGTCTGGAAGGCTTTCTCTGAGCGTAACTGACCTTCGCTGAAGCACACATACTCATACATGCTGACAATACACTCACATGCACTTTTGACAAATTCCCACAACTACAGGACTCGCATTGGCTCTAATGGGCAAACACAGCTACGAATTAAAGAACACTGAAACCTGTTCATTCAAAAATGCCTAGCAAAAATCCTTTGTTAAGCTGCTTTTTGTTAAAAACTGATTTTCAATGTTCAATTAAATAGAAGAATAAAAAAATAATTTAAAAAATCTTTCATACTATTTCTTCAATGTCGAAATGTGTCTTATTTTTAAGAGATGTTGGTCACACTTTATTTTAAGGTCCAATTCCCGCTATTAGCAAACCATTAACTACAACTTTTGCCTCAATAAACTCCTAATTAGCTGCTTATTAATAGTTAGTAAGGTAGTTGTTAATTTTAGGTATTGGGTAGGATAGAGAACTTTTCACTAATAAAACCAAGAGATATGTTTTCCTCATTTTTTCAGGAAACTTAAGCAGTTTTGAGGCTTGAATTGAGGAACTGATTAATCTAAATACATAAGGAAAGAAGGCTACCTATTTGTTTTAAGAGAATTAGCTCAATTTTGCAGTTTTATATTGGCGGTGATTGTTAGTTCCCAGCAGGCTTTGCATATGGCTGGATATGGAGAGTAAATATTGAAATTCAGTGCTACTTTATGTGTTTTTGAGTAAAGGGAAACATCGATGTATGTTTAATGTTCAGTCATATTTTACATTTGAAAGAGTTTCTGTGATGTTGACGTTCCTATCGTTACCACTGTGCAGAAGAGTAGAGCTCATGGCTATGGATAACTGCATGCACTATCTGTGATGCATGATGCTAATCTTTTCAGTAGATGTAGCTCATACCATTTATTAGTGTGAGCATGTTTCTTGGAAAATAATTTCTTTGTTTTTGGAAATAAAAATTGGCCTCTAGTATTAATGCCCGTTACTTGTCTGATCGTAAGCAGTTGATCAGTGCATCTATATTTGATCTGGTCATCTTTAATCAAAATGTCAACTTGCTCTTCCAGTTAAACCAATCAAGTCCTAATTAACTTATTCCTGTGTATGACAAACGAAACCGGTATCAGATCAGAAAACGTCTTCTGATTCTTTTAATTTGGGTTAATTTGTTTAAATGTTTTGGTCACACTTTATTTTAAGAACCAATTCTCACGATTAACTAACTATTAACTAAGATTTTTGCTTTAATAAACTCCTAATGCATTAATAGTTAGTAAGGTAGCTAAGTTTATGTATTGGGTGGATTAAGGGATCTAAAATATGGTCATGCAGAGTAAGGCATTGTAGCGAATCAGCTCATGGGGAAATATGAATAATTAACCATAACTAGTTATAATTAACTATTCATATTTTAGATCCACTGTAGATATTTAGCTGACCACTCAGGGTCAACTGTCTTGTCAATTCTAAGAACGTTAATTTCCTGGTTAAGGGAAATAACTTTCTTACTGTACAATTCTATAAGCTTGTAACGTAAATCTGCATGATTATTGACTCCGGTTATGAGTAAACACTGAACACGTCAAGTGTGATACAAGTAAGGTTTTATTAACTACATAAACACTTAAACTAGTCTAACATACTACATAAACACATAAACCCGGTCTAACATACACATGCAGCAGTTCCCTGTAGAAACTATTTAAACTCAGCTCTTAACGCAGACTCGAGAAACTTTCATGCTTTAAGTAGGGGTTGTTCACCTTTTCCATTTCAGGACCATCCTGACTGAGAACTCAGGGAGCCCCTAATATTTTATCAACATTATATGATATCATTGACAAACATGATTGCACAGTTAACTACTCTTGTCTTGAGTTTTATTCAAGTAGACCTTTAGACATAACAAGGTGTGCCAGAAAGCGCTCCCTGTTATTTTACAAAAGCAATTTGTAACGTTTTGTTGTTATTGTGGAAGTATAGAAAATAAAGCAGACATTTCTTTCCTCTGTTATCCTGTAGCCCAAAGGATCGCGCCGGCGCCGCCGAACCGAGAAGAGCAGTGTTGTGCTTCATATGAGATGTATATTTGCAAGAAATATAGCCTATACAACAGCCAGACAGTTTGAAGAAACGTTATTGTGACTAATTTGCAGAGCGGGACATGAGATGAACTCTTATTCTGTGTGATGGGATATAGGCATGAAGACAGGCTGAGAGAAAAAGTGGTGTTTTTAGGGCCGCCCACGCACAAATAGCAAGCTCATTTTTTAACCCACGAACAAAAAATACGAAAAATTTTGCTTAATTTTCGTTTGCCAAACAGAACGAAATAATAATAATAATTATTATTATGCCAAATTAAATTTTATTTTATTCCCAACTATTTTAACTTGTTTTTTAAATGTAAGCTGTGAATCAAGTATTATACCTAGATATTTATACTCTTGAACTACTGCTAACCTTTTACCTGCAACTATAACATCTGGGTCGGGATCTCTATTTGCAGACTTTGAAAAAAACATACATACAGTTTTGCTAACATTAAGGTGCAAACACGATTTTTTTAACCAATTTGTAATCTTAACCATTTCTGCCGATAATTCATCTGCCGCTTGTTTTTTAGTTTTAGCATGCAAATATATAATTGTATCATCAGCATACATCTGGCAATTTACAGCAATTTACAGCAGGTGCACAAACAAAGTTGACTTTGGCATGCAAGAGACTGATAAATTCATAATTAATGGCATGGCTGGTTCAGTCGACAGAAATACGGGACACACAGGCCTATAATAACTGCTGAAATGTTTGCGGGGCAAATCTCAGATCAGTCTGAGCGCTCATGGTACTCACAGTGCATACAGCTGTACACCTGCAGGCACCACTGGTAATAAACACCGTAAACAGCAACCATTCGCGTGTCAGCGCTTAATGCACATCTCCTATATGAAAAGTATTTTAGGGGGCCCTTGGCTTTTGGGGGCCCAAGGCAGTTGCCTACCTTTGCCTAATGGGTAAGTCCGCCCCTTTGTTTATATATACCAACACAGAACATTTCCCAACATTAGTGCATGGTTCTTGCTTGGCTGTTTTTTTTTTAACCAATTCTTTCAACTATCTTTTGTACAAATGTTCCCAGAACATTCTTGATGTGTCATTTGTAGCGGATCAGCTCATGGGGAAATATGAATAATTAACCATAACTAGTTATAATTAACTATTCATATTTTAGATCCACTGTAGATATTTAGCTGACCACTCAGGGTCAACCGTCTTGTCAATTCTAAGAACGTTAATTTCCTGGTTAAAGGAAATAACTTTCTTACTGTACAATTCTATAAGTTTGTAACGTAAATCTGCATGATTATTGACTCCGGTTATGAGTAAACAATGAACACGTCAAGTGTGATACAAGTAAGGTTTTATTAACTACATAAACACTTAAACTAGTCTAACATACTACATAAACACATTAAGCCGGTCTAACATACACATACACACACACACGCACACATACAGTTGGTATAGGAAAGGGTTAAAGTTTAACTCAGCATAGAAAGAGGCATAAAGAATGGATTTTATGGAACACTTTGCATGTATATTCAACAGATCAAAGCCTTCAGGGATACGTCAGATTCTGAGTTCAAACACACCTTTGTAAAAAGGTGTAACTGATACTTAATGCATCAATTAAATCGACTAAGTTTGATACTTGCACGTCTGTATGAACAAAGATTCCTGATGCGATCTTACGGCCCCAAGATCTTGCTGAAGTTGGTTGATGAGAAAGAACCAGTTTGAGTCAGTGTCACTTGATGAATGGAAAGGACTAGGCCGAAGAAAAGGCCTGGCACAGATGCTTTGGTATCCTGAAGCGTTTTTCTCACATCATCTTTGCTTCTGACTGAATCACCGACTGGGGCGGGTCCCTGGAGCCGGGCCTTTAAGGTCGGAGAAGATCTCCGCCTTTCAAGATGGGCTTGTCCCATGAGCACAATGGAATTTCCGAGCGGGAGGTGGCAATTGCTGGAGGGTTTACGACCCTTTGTTCTCTAAGCATGGTAATTTGCAAATGGATTTAAATCGAAATTATTAACGATTCTCAGGGCCCTAATATATATTGCCTATGTACCACCATATAATATACACGCTTGTTTCGATCATACGAAGGCAAATTCATAGATACTAAACAAGGTAGGATTACATATAGTGAAAAGGGAGGATCAGGAATGGGTCCCCTCACAAGCATACTAAAATAGTCTAAGAATATCAAAGACAAAATACACAATGACAATAATATACTCAATGGCCTGAAGAAATATGTGTGTTCATTCAAATAACGTTTTTTCTATGAATTAACTAGAACACAGTCCATTTCTACTCTGCTTTTCCTTGGGACAAGAGTGGGCTATCCTTCTCACATTCCTGGGGGGTCATAAAACCAGTGATATCATGATTAGTTGTCATGGTGACCTGAGGGCCTGGTGTTCAGCAGACATCCTGGCATCCAGTATATTGAGTGAGGGGACTGTGACGATTTGTTAACCTAATGAATAATTGATTTGTTAAATCAAATTAAAATTAGTGTGTCAGATTGGTCGAGACGCTACAGCATTAATATGTGTTTTAAGCACTAATAAACAGCCAGTATGTTAGTAATATGCATGCAAGCAACTAGTTAATAATGAGAATTGGTCCCTAAACTAAAGTGTTATCAATATTTTTCTCTAGAAACAAAAACAACCTGATCTGACGTCGTCGCACAAGCAGCAGTTCCCTGTAGAAACTATTTAAACTCAGCTCTTAACGCAGACTCGATAAACTTTCATGCTTTAAGTAGGGGTTGTTCACCTTTTCCATTTCAGGACCATCCTGACTGAGAACTCAGGGAGCCCCTAATATTTTATCAACATTATATGATATCATTGACAAACATGATTGCACAGTTAACTACTCTTGTCTTGAGTTTTATTCAAGTAGACCTTTAGACATAACAAGGTGTGCCAGAAAGCGCTCCCTGTTATTTTACAAAAGCAATTTGTAACGTTTTGTTGTTATTGTGGAAGTATAGAAAATAAAGCAGACATTTCTTTCCTCTGTTATCCTGTAGCCCAAAGGATCGCGCCGGCGCCGCCGAACCGAGAAGAGCAGTGTTGTGCTTCATATGAGATGTATATTTGCAAGAAATATAGCCTATACAACAGCCAGACAGTTTGAAGAAACGTTATTGTGACTAATTTGCAGAGCGGGACATGAGATGAACTCTTATTCTGTGTGATGGGATATAGGCATGAAGACAGGCTGAGAGAAAAAGTGGTGTTTTTAGGGCCGCCCACGCACAAATAGCAAGCTCATTTTTTAACCCACGAACAAAAAATACGAAAAATTTTGCTTAATTTTCGTTTGCCAAACAGAACGAAATAATAATAATAATTATTATTAAGTGCAGTTATTGGATAGCACTATATTGTAGACAGATTGGAGATTAATCCTAATAAACATGCCACTACAATTAAAACCATTACATTAAAATACATTTAAAACAGTGTATTTCAATCATTTCAGCAGCGTGCAGATCCTGGTTTATGTCAGACTGTGGCGAGTCGCTTAGCTCGCTCACCTATCCTACCATATAGCCTATCTATACTAACGGGAAAACATCTCGTTATTACGAGAAAATATATCGTTTTAACGAGAAAATATGTCGTTTTAACAAGAAAAGGTGTCGTTAAAACAAGAAAAGATGTCGTAAAACGACATATCTCGTTATTACGACATAATTGAGTGGAAAAATAAATATGTGTGTGGCAGCAATGCGTCACCGTAACTATCATAATTAGTTACTTTTTTAGGGAGTAATGCAATATTGTAATGCAGTGGTTCTCAAACCTGTCCTGGAGTACCTCCAGCCCTGCACATGTTGTATGTCTCCTCATCTATCACACCTGATTCAACTCTTCAGCTCATTTAGTGGAGACTGCAAGACCTGAAGTGGGTGTGTCAGATAGAGGGAGACATACACAATGTGCAGTGCTGGGGGTACTTCATGGAGAGGTTTGAGAACCACGGGAGTGCGTGAGTGTGTGAGTGTGTGAGTGTGTGTGTGTGTGTGTGTGAGAGAGAGTGTGTGTGTGAGTGTGT